GACGTGTGCTCTTCCGATCTCCCCAAAACCCCAAAACCCCATGACTTAGTTATTTTAGTGAGAATTTTTATAATAATTAACAAGAATAAATGGAAAATATATAATCAGAATTAAGTACTGCTAACTCAACTATGACACAGAATACAAAAAAAAGAAAATTAGAAGATATATATAAAGATTAAGAGGAGATAAAAGTCTTTGATAATCTAATAAATAAAAAAAGAAAAATGCAATCGCCTATCAAAGTGAATAAAAGATCGGATGATGAAGTTAAAGACCTCTTTGTGTATTTAAAAGAGACTGTTATACATATGAATTTATCAGATAATCATCAGAAAACTAATCAATAAATTAAATAATCTAAGCTTAAAATTGCTGCTCTTGATTTGGTACTTAGTCCACATTTCTTAATATCTTTATAGGACTCCACACTGATCTAGACTATTTCTCAGGAGTAGTTTGCTAAAAATGAGAACGATTGGAAATATATGTTCAAAAATGTGCCCTCAAAATTAAGAAAGCTTCATTAAGATGGCTTTAAATTAGTAATTTTTACCTAGCAAATGGGAATATAAAAAGGAATTTTGACACCTATAAATTTTGCAAAAAAAGCATTAAATATCTAAAAAGATGTAAGGCATTTTATTTTTTACTCTGAAATTAGTTGGATTTACCTATGGAATTCTTTATCAGCACTCATCTTGATTAGTATCGTAAACCTTCTGTGAATTTTTGGAAGATTTTTAAAGAGCGAGTTTAGCTTAATGGCTTCGAAGTAGATTATGAAAATTCATTTTATTGTGGGGATTGTGCTGGCCGATAACTTAATCCTACTCTAAAAATTAAAGACCCCAAAGATTCAGACTATAAATTTGCACTTAACAATAATCTTAAATTTATAACACCTGAAGAATTATTTGATCCTTTGACTCCTTACATTGCAAAGAAATTAGGCAAAAAGATTCAACTTCCAGAATTTGCAGATTATAAGCAGGCATTAGATATATTTAATGATGCTAATAATAAGTAAAAGGAAATAAAACAGTTCTTTGATTACTTTGAAGAAGTTAAAGATGCAAGAGGTAAAATAATCTTATAATATAGTAATATAGTTTTGATCATTGTAACTGGCCCTCCATCTATCGGAAAGAGTAGATTAATTTAAATTATATAAGAATGAATTAAAATTGATCATAAAATTGATATACCCATTTTTGAATCTAAGGTAAGCGTCATATTTTTCTTAAATTGTATTAAAGGCGAAATCAATAAGAAATTTATTGATTGATATTGATGAAATGAAAGTTGAAGATAAAAGATAAATGTAAGATTGAAGAGTTTTTATTAATATAGCTTCTATGAAGTTAGTCAAAGTATTACTCCTGCATTTGGTAGTAAAGAGATAGTAAAGTAAATTATAAATAAGTTTAGAGAAAAAGGTACAATAATACAATTCATTTATTTCGAGCTATAGGTTATCATTCTATTATGATTGAAATGAAAATCTTAAGCACAGATTAAAAATTATAGCTTGAACTTTGTAAACATTTTGATGTTGTTAAGAAATTTTTAAAAAGCAAGGATAATACTGTTGCTTTGTAATATAAGGAATCGATTTTGAAAGCTTATTAAAGCTATCAAGAATTAAATGATAAAGAAACACAAAGTATACCTAATAAATATTTCAAATTAGATAAACCCTTAAAAGTTGAATTTGCTACGAAAGAAATGGAAAATCTTATACTTAAAATGCTATGATTGTATTTAATTAATTTCCTAATTGTGATTCTATGCCTAAAATCAAGCTTTTCGGGGTTTTGGGGTTTTGGGGTTTTGGGG